GGCTGAGGAGCGCCAGCTGTTCCATATAAATGATGAGGTGGAGGATGTGAAGGAGGAAGATGAGGAGGTGGTGGTGGGGGGGATGGTCCTATAGTAACCAATAATGACTCCGTTCCCTAACTTAAAAAAAAATTAAAATAAAAAATGCTCTTAAGAGGATTTTTTATTTTAATTATTTGTTCAAAAGTTATAAGATTTTTTGTAAGCTAGCTAAAAGTAAATATCTTATGCTATCTCGCACTGTATATAAAAAATAAAATATTTTAAAATTTGGTATCTTGTGATATATCATGTAAAAGCAGCCAATGAAATATATCATGTGAAATTTAACAGCTTCGCGTTTCGCGAGATTTATCTATAATTTGAGATTGTGAATATGTAATTTAATATAACTAGATTAGATACACTATATACTGAGAGTTTAATTAAAATAGAACAGCTTAACAGGAACATTAGTGTATTAATTTGTGTCGCAGCGCCACAACAATAATTGAGTATAATAATAACCAAAAATAAAAATCAAGCAAAGATTAATATTTGTATGTCAGTAGCAAGATTTACATGATTGTTAATGGATTTTAAGCTTCTAAAACAATGTTACAGAAACAAGCTTCATAATAAATTCACAATTTCAGAAATCACGACCACCCACTAATTGCAAGACTTTTCCATCATCTCGACGTCTTTCCAAAATTTCTCGTAACCGATCCGCCAATTCAGCCTTTTCGCCCGTGATACAAATGTTGGGATTAACTTCATAATGGAAAGTTAATTGTAGTTTAAGTGTCGCCGTTGATAATAAAGCAACGCGTCTTGGGTCAATGATGAATGGAATACGATTTGGATTCTTCTGTTGTTTAGGTGCAATGCAGTAAAGAAGGTGTCGATGATTTAGATAATCACGGCATTCCTGAGGAACAGTGAGCTGATGCAGATTCTTGCTCCTTGATTCTCGGACAAAAGTTCGAAGACCATACATCGTGATGCTAGTTCCCTCCAAAGCTAGCTGTTCAAGGACTTCAAAATACCGAAGAATGTAAAAAGAACGATCAGTAATGTGAATATTGTTGGCTAGATCCAATTGTTTAAGTGAGTTTTTAAGGGCGACTAAATTCGCGATTCCTTCGTCACTGATTGAAGTGTTGTCGAGATACAATTGCTCCAAAGATTGAAGAGAGTGAAGGTGAATTAAATAAGGATCGGAGATAGGCATATCGCTGAGTTTCAGCCATTTGAGCGATTGAAAACTGTTTGGCTGCGAGAAGATCGAAAGAATCGCGCAAACATTCTGTATTTTGCGATTTTCAAACTCTTTACTCGTGTTTGTGTCTGAATTCTCGGCAGTAAGCTTTTCTCGGATATTTTCACTTATTCTTTCAAAAGTGGATGTAAGCTCCATAGTGGCTACTGCTTCGATTGCACGAAATTCTGGAAGCATATATTGATCCAAATAACCTACACAAAGATCAGATTAAGGAAGAATTTAAATTCTAATGCATCAATAAAATGAACAAACTTAAAAGATGTTATGTTACCATTTCTTTCAAGCCATAAGTAAATTATTTCGACATTGTCGGGCAATCCATCTGCATCGCCTTCATCTTTTGCCAGTTGTGCTTTGACATGGGCGGATTTGTACTTTCCGATTCGACTCATCAACTTTCTAATTGACTTCGCGTCATTAAGATAAATTGGTCCATGAAGTAATTGTTTATAATGGTTGGCGGCATCTGTATTGAAGTTTAGTCGAAAGAAATTTTGTAAATAATAAATTAAGAAAGAAGTAAAGTCTAGCCAATTATTTACGTTTAGCTTCTTGAACCTCTTCTTCCAGTTGACGAAGCCTTTTCTGATAATAGTCACGTTCATCATCTACTCTCATTCTTTTAGATGGTGTAGTTGATGGATTGAGTGGGAAAAAAGGAATTATTTCGCCTTTTACTGTTGGTGGCGTTTCTACGATTTCATCTAATTCTTGAATCTTGTCAGACAAAACTGATGGAGTGAATTCAGATACCGGAGATTCTTTGGTAAGAAATTGCGGCGTAGGTGTATATTCTACAGAAGCCGCACCTGATGTTCTTGTTGATGATGCTTTAATTGTTGAATTCGAATCCTCTGAGCCTTCATCTTGCTTTGGGGTGATGAGAGAAGCCAAATCACTAGAGTCGATATTTTTAAATAACGGAGACTCTTTGGCGAGAAAACTTGTCAATGGGGTATCTTCAAATTGGAGATTTGGAGTTCCAGAATTTTCGGTCACGATAGGTTTGGAATTTGGTGTAAGTTTAGAATATTCTCTTGTCTCGTCAATTGCAGACGATTTCTTGTATCTTTCCATAATATTATCCAAATGGTGTGAAGAATTTTTGATTTCTGAATCGTCATTTTCATTGATATAAGAAAACTGAGTATTACTTTTATCAATCAGTGGGGTTCTGACTTTTGGACTTTTAACTTTTGAAGGAGTACGATGTTTCGAAGGTGTTCCTGATCTACTTGATTTGCGAGTTGTAGTTCGTCTTTTCGGAGTGAGAGTAGGATCATCGTCCCCTTTTATCTTGAGATTTTGGGAGGAAAGACGGGTATCTTTTTTTCCCAAAGAAACACGAGACGTTGACTTGACCTGATTAAATTCAAGATTAATATTCTCTGCACGATTCTCTGATTTGTCAAACATGTAGCTACTTGGTTTATTTGCAAATTCGAAAATTGTTTCTTGAGCAGCATTCTCATCAAAGGGCAATTCTTTATGAGTTTTTCTTTGAGAGGGAAGACGTAGTCTCGTAGTATTATTAATATTTATGCTTTCATTACCATCAAGCGAAACTTTTCGTAGCTGTTGAGTCTTCCTTTCGGCTCTATAAAGTTCCGAACCCAAGCTCATTCCCTCCAATTTATTATCTTTTTCTCGTCTAAGGTTGCTAGTAGTCTTTGTCTTGCTTTCAGTTTTGTTTTGAGGAATGTAAACTGTTGGAAGTAGTTTCTCGGTGCGCTCCATTTCTTGGGCCAAATTCGAGAGTGCCTGTGTTCTCCTCTCAGCACGATCCAACTCACGGTCTAGAGAAGTGAGTGGTTGTTGTGAACGGGGTTGACGGTAAGTCTGCCTCATGCGTGAAATATTGCCTTTACTAGAGTCCATGGTGTTGTTTGAAAAAAGTTTATTTTTAACGCGTCTTATGATCCATTTTATTGCATAAACTCAAGATTGACGCGTCATAATGTTATGCATGCACAAATTTTTATTGATTCTTGTAATTTTTTTAGATATCTAAATAATGTACAATTTTTAGTAATGGTTCGTCTTTTTTTTTTTTTTTTGGTAAACTACTCCAAGGACACGCGTAATTACGTTATTATTAATCACATATAATTATGATAAGAATATTTTGTAAATGAGTTGTTAAGAATAATAATGTATGAGATGAAAAATGGAGGAAACAGAAAAGCAAAGCATTAAGAGACAATAAAAAGAAAAATTTTAAGATAAAGAATAATATATACTAATAAACATATATATACTAGTATTAAATGTGATGATATACAAGAATTTAAATATATGTGTATATATTTAAAAATAATGATAAGTGTCATTCGAAGGTAAAATTAACAGCTTTTTAATCATAACTGATCTCTTAAAATTCCAAAGTCTCTGGCGCTCATTCCCCTTCGAAGATTATTATTATTATTATTAACATTAGCATTAGCATTGTTAGTAGTAGTAGTATTAGTAGCAGCATTATTATTAATATTATTACTACTGCTATTTACCACTCCCGGTTCTTGATACCATAATGACTGTGTATTACTGCCATTACTAACAACACCATTTAGTCCCCATATTTCTGAACTAATATTGTTATTACTGTCATTAGATGCAGAAGCAGGGTTTGGATGTGTGGTGGTGCTCGTAGTCGTTGTTTTTGATGTTGATGTAACACTATGATTATTCTTATTACTATTAATATTACTGTTACTTGTATTAGGTATCCCGATCATAGAATGTTCATTTATTGTTTCTGTAGCAGTGGTTGCCGTTGTTGTATTTCTTCTTATTGGTGGCCACTCATGTTCGCTAACTGTATGCCGATGTGCATTGGGACGTGATGAAGAAGCAGGAGCAATTGGAGGTGGACGCGGAGATGTTTGTTTGGACTTTGTTTGTACCTGTTGAGATGTGTCATTACCTACTTTCGTTTGGTTTATTGTATTACTTTTTTTCAATATAAATTCACGCGTATTAAGATACAACAGTGCACTAAACACACGCACATATTCTCAATCCACGTAGAAAACTATGTTATACATGACATGGATTGATTAGAAAAATTAAAAAAAAAAAACACTAACCGCCTGGTAAAGCCGAAAACAAAGAGTTCGAAAAATACGAGGTTGCTGTTTCTATAGGAGTTGCAAGACTTTGTCGCCGACTTGTCATTGATAAAGGTACTTCATCTCCACGTAGCACACTTGGTCCAACACCGAATCCTGGAGGTGGTGATCTTGTACGCATTTCCATGGGCTGCGAAACATTAGAAGCGGATCCCCTTCGCGGTCTTTGAATAGGTGCAGGTCGCTGTATAGTCTTTGAATTCGCACTATTTGGTGGTTGAATGACATGTGAATCTTCATGATGTGTCGAGAGTCGGCGAGAATGACCGATCGGAGGTAAGGGAGAATTTGGAACAACGTTATTTGTCGATGGTTGTCCAATCACTTGAGTACCTAGATTAAATGTTTGTGCACTCAGTGGACCTTGTGCTCCACCACCCAAAGGTAACACACCACCAAATCCGGTAGGTTGGTTAGTCCCTAATGTTGATGGGACACCCGCATTAATACTAGCACCACCGCCACCAACAACACTAGCATTACCCCCGCTGATTACTGAATCGTTAAGAATAGATAAATTCGAAGAAGTAACAGATGACGGTGAGGGAGGAACAGGTAAATGTGGATTTACAGTTATAGGATTATAACCACGAGGTGGTGGTGGTGGCGGCATATTCTGTCTCATTTGCTGATGATGTGGATGGAGCACTGGTGGACCATGATGTTGTGGCACCATGCCAATTGGCCCCAATCCTGTAGCAAATAAAGAGGATTGAGGATTTATACCGGGAATAGTGTTCGTTTGGGGTTGTGGTGGAAGGGAAGGGTTTATTATTTTTTTATTATTAGTGTAGAGTTCATTTATAATGTCATTAGTATGACCATTCAGGCCACTTAGTCCTTGTGCACCAAATGGAGGTGGCTGAGGAGCGCCAGCTGTTCCATATAAATGATGAGGTGGAGGATGTGAAGGAGGAAGATGAGGAGGTGGTGGTGGTGGCTGATTGACGGGAAGTTGCTGAGGGGCTTCGTGAGTTGGATAATTTATCCAATTTATTGCTCCCCCGTTTGTCATTTGACCTACAGCTTTTGTTTGAACACCTATTTGACTTGAGGACGATGAAGGTGGCTGTGATTGAGGTAGTTGCTGTGGCTGTTGCTGTAGCGGTGGCTGACCAATAGGTGCTATTGTTCTCTGTTGGGGAGGAGGTTGTGATTGCGGTTTCCTGTCAAAGTGCTGCCTCGGAGGTGGCGGCAATGTAGCAGTTCTTTGTTGTTGCTGCTGCTGTTGTTGATGCTGCAACTTTTCTTTTTCTTTCTCCTCTCTCTCCTTCCGTTCTTTTTCTTCCCGCTCTTTTCGTTCTTTTGCTTCTCGTTCCAGCCGTTCTTTTTCTTCATTTTCTCTCCGTATTCTTTCTTCACGTTCCTTTCGCTCACGCTCTTCACGTTCTTTACGCTCTTTCTCTTCCCTTATCTTCCTTTCTTTCTCTTGTCGTTCTTTTCTTTCACGTTCTTCGCGTTCCTTGCGCTCTTTAGCTTCCTGTTCTTTTCGAGCACGTTCCTCTCTCTCTTTACGCTCTCTCTCTTCTCGTTCTTTGCGTTCTTTTGCTTCTTGCTCTTTTCGACGCCGCTCCTCTTTCTCTTTTTCCTCACGTGCTTTTCGTCGTTTTTCCTCCTCTTTTTTTAGCCTCTCTTCCTCCTTAGCACGCCTTTCTGCTTCTTTGCGTAAGCGTTCTTCCTCTCGACGTTTACGTTCTTCTTCTGCTTTTCGTTCACGCTCTGCTTTTAAGGCAGCTTCTTCTGCGAGCCTTTCAGCTTCTTTTCGAGCACGCTCTTCCTCTTTTTGTTGTTTTTGAGCACTAGAGAATCAATATTAATTATTTTACTTTGATAAAATAAATATTTAAAACATTGCAAGTAGATATCCTTTTTCAAATGTGTTTTGGTAATTACCGCTTCTTTGCATTTTTTTTTTCTTTCTCTTTTAACTTTTTCTGTTCACGTTCTTCTTTTAGTCGATTTTCTTCTTCTAATTCTTCCAAGAATTTTTTTTGTCGTTCTTGTGCAACCTATTAAAAAAATAATAAATCATATTAATAATTCGAAACATTATATATTTTGTTCTCTTTGAATAAAATCTATGATAGAATATAAGAAAAATCGTCCACCTTTTCTTTATATGCATTTAGTACTCGCTGCTCGAACATTTTTGCTGCAAATATCTGGAACATTTGTTTGCTCTCTTTCATACGCTGTTCCTCTGTGATATTATCCTAAATATAAAGAAAAACATTTTACAATTTAGAGATGACAACAAATATAAATAACACCAGAGAAACTGGCAAAAAAATTAATCAAACCTCTTCAGCATCATATTCCTCATCTTCGTCATATTCCTCATCCTCATCATCATAATCACGAGACATTGCGACTTCTTCTTCCCGCTGCATTCGTTTTTCGGCAAGAGTCTCCATCATTTCGAGAAACTTTTTGCCATCATTTTTTAATAGATCATCGGCTACGGTTAAAATGCCACCTAGACAGATAAAATAAAATATTCGGCATCAGAACTTTTTAATTAAACAAATTTTATTGCACACACAAATTAAATTTAATAAATGACCTTTGACAGTCAGACTATTTCCAAATTGAAATAATTCTCTCCGTGTATCACTGCCATTTTCACTACCCTCATATTCATCATCATCCTCTTCTTCATAATCGTCGTCGTCTTCATCATCATCATCTTCATCATATTCTCCTCCATTTTCTTCAGAAATAACCATGGATGACATTGAATTGCTAAGATCATTTTGTTGTTCTTGTTGGTTTGCATAACGTTCTAACTCGTCATAATATGCATCGTAAAGGATCTCAAGCTCTTCCTCAATAGCGGTTCTGAAAAGAAACGAGATGCGCAATTAGATATCTAATGAAATTTAGAGCATATTATATAACACCTGCAAAGAAATAGCGAAAAAAATAGATCGAATTGGACTAGACTTTCAACGGAATTGGCAAAAAATAATTTTTTTTTAAAAAAAATAACAAGTAAAGAATAATTCATAAGACAAACCTCTTCTTTCCACAACCGGAACAAGAACATGGAGACTTTTGTTGTTCCTTCATTTTTTTTAAAACCATTTCTTTTTCTACTTTTAATAGACTCCGTCTTTCTTCTTCACCTAACTGCAGCCAAAATTCACGTATCCGTTGACGTTCTTCATTATTATTGGTATTCCAGATACCATCTTTACGGGATTTATGAGGATGATTTTGATGGGTATTTGGATGAACATCATTAGGCATTTGACTCATTGAGATATTAGATTTATTTTTCTTCTTCTTCTTTTTTTTCTTTGAAGGTGCGGTGGTGGTTGCATTATTACTACTATTGTTATTATTATTATTATTATTACTATTGTTGTGACTTTCTTCGCTGTCGAAATTGGCAACCAAGTCCTTCCGTGGAAAAGGAATTTCAGGAGCTTCTGGATCATAACCATCATCGTCTGAATAAAACTCGTCTAGATCTTCATCAATTTCGTCAGGTAAATCCAATTCAATGGTATAATTATTTGATGAATTGTTTGAAGCCTGAATACCTGTGTCATTTTCGCCCAGATCGCCATCTTCATTATTCTCAACGCCGACTTTTCTCTTTCCCTTCTTTTTCTTTTTCTTCTTCACCGCACCATTTTGCGTTTGGTGTGACGAGGCTAACGCATCAAAATCCTGACCCGGGGGTGAGGATAATGGCGATTGATTCGTTGGGGAAAGTTCTTTAACAATGTTCATGCATTTGGTTCCTTTCTTGTTATAAATTACAGCTTGTTTAGCGAAATTTATGGGTGGATGAGGTAGAGTCTCTTCGGGCGGAAAAGTGTGAGAGGTCGCCATCATAATTGCCTTATAGTCAACTATGGGTACCAGGTTTCTTTCTATTCAGATCTATCAGGTAAAATTTTCAACAAAAAAATCTATTCAACAACTCGCAAAACAAGTAACTCGACGTAGATTTATTTATGATGGTGCTTTATTTAAATATCGGGCCGCAAATCGAATAATACAGATACTTACGAGTTGTGTGTATGTATATGAGAGTGTGTAGTGGTGGGTTTTGAATACTTTCTTATAATTAAGAGAGGCGCGTTTAAAAAAACTCGACTATCAGTGTGTGACTTGAAGGTATATATTTATATATATATATATATATATATTATTTTTCTTTGGGCAAACACTTAGTACGCAGGACATCCCCTCCACTAATAATTGTGAGAGATTATTCACGAACTATACTATATATGTCATTGTGCTGCGGATCAGCTGTGTCAACGTGCTCAGAAAAAAAAGTATTGTATTTGTATGGTGTTGTGTGATGATGATGAGATGATTGAAGCGTATTATTATTTATCATTATTATGGTTGTTCATGGCGTTAAAAAATCATCGTGTTGTAATTAGGGTTACTAAAGCCCATATTGATTGAATACGTTACAGGCGCTTTTAATTATTAAGGGTTTTTAAAAAAAAATAATAATAATTCTTTTTCTTAAATTGTTGATGATGAATAATTAATCCTTTAAAGTTTTACGTGTGTGATTGTTCATTGTCACTGCGAGTAGCGCATTAGTAAACGACGACACGCTGACTCTTAGCAGCTTTCGGCTTTTTTCATCCATCTTTAAAATTCAATCTTATGCCAATCTACGTGTGTTATTATTATTATTATTCCATCAAAAATATTCTTGGAGAATTAATAAAATGCATTATTTGTAAAAAATGTATGTATTTAATGTTGGCTTTACATACAACATATTGAAACTTACTTTCATGTTTTAATAATTGATAATAAGTACTTAACTATCATAAAATGAACCTCATATTAACGTAATACAAAGTTCTACGGTATCAAGGGAAGACTTTTTTTAAGGTGATCTTTTTTAAAGCTGCTTAATCTCCGAGTACGAATTATATGAAAGATTAAAAGACAACCTCGATAAACCGAGATGGTCGTTGGAAGTTTGTAGTACAACCACTTTTATCATCAGTTGTATATGTACGCGCGCACCATCTGCACCAAATATTATCACATGATATATTCAGAAACCCATCGTCAAAGACACGTTGGTTATTATTCTCTATCCAATACAAACCCTTACCTTTTATGTATTTCAACGTTTACTCACCGTCTTGAAATTATCTTTCCCATTACCTAACGATTAATTTTTTCTTGGTTCCGATTTTTCAAAAGACATTTTGATATGAACAGCAGCATAGCAAATAAAGTTACAATACAGCCAAATATGGCTGGCACCACCACACAGACATCTACAATACAAGTGACAAAGCAAACAGGCGCGACGACCCTGTTTGACCTGGAACCTGTTGTTCCAACGCCATCCAACATTGAAACCATCACATCTAACAACTTACCACTACCAATAGCAGTAGGTCATAATAGTATCTCAACGCAGCAACCTACTTCTCCAAAAGCACCGCCGGGCACAGTATACGGCGCGGTTTACTCTGGTGTGCCTGTCTACGAATGCATAGTAAATGACGTCGCCGTAATGCGACGACGTCCGGATTCTTATTTGAACGCTACACAGATCCTCAAGGTGGCGGGACTGGAAAAGGGAAAACGTACGAAAATTATTGAGAAGGAGGTGCTTATGGGTGAACACGAGAAAGTGCAAGGAGGTTATGGCAAGTACCAGGGAACCTGGTAAGCGTAGAATCTAGTTTAACATTATCGATCGGGCCGTGATTCTGTAACTATGACTTGAAGATTTATTTTTGTAATATATCGTCAAGCATCAGATATAGCATTGAAGCTTTCATGCGCATTATTTTATTTTTCTGACAATGATCTTGAACTTTATCTCTGCACTTTGTATCATCCAGGGTTCCATACGAACGTGGGAAGGAATTGGCAGAACAATACGGGGTATTCGAAATCTTGAAACCAATTCTAGAATATAAACCACCTCGACCAGATGTACTCATTAGCGCATCTACATCCCCGTCAATATCATTCGCTAATTATGCACCAACAAAGGAAAATGATGTGCAGTCACAAGTGTTCAAAGAACAATCATTTATCGAACATTTGGATAAGGAGAGCTTAATCAGTGAATCAGCAATCAGCGGAGAATCAATTCTCAATGAGCATGGAGAGAAAGAACAATCGACTGAAGATACGGGTTTCGAAGATAGTTCAAGTAATGCTGAAAGGGTTGGAGAATTCGAGCATTCGTTAGGGGAAAGCGAAGTTGAGGAAATCATAGTCAGAAAACATGAAAGCGTGATAAAAAAACAAGATAACCAAGAATGCGAGAACGGAAATCATGCGGTAGTAGAAGATGAACGCGTGATTCAAGAACGCGAAAATGAAAAGCGCGTTGAGCACGAACGCGAAGCTGCGCAACACGTCATCGACGATCACGAAGATATAATACCACAACGCAGAGAATCAAAGGGTAAGGAACCGGAAGTCGTGTCTACATTAAGTGAAGAAGGATCATTGGCAATTTCTCAAACACAGACTCAAATAAATGGATCCTTCGAATATCAAAAGTCATCACCGGAAGAATCAAGCGGCATACTATTACCTTTAGATCTCCACGATTCGGATACTCCTACCCGAAATTATCTGTTAACCTTAATATTTAACGATAATCCGGAACAAATGCCAAGTCCCATTCAAATCAATTCAGAGATTGATTTTGATATAAATCAATCAATAGACGCGTATGGACATTCGATGCTTCATTGGGCGGCTGCACTAGGGAGATGTCAAGCGCTTGAGCTATTGTTGACAAAAGGCGCCAATGTGAATCAGACAAATTCTGCAGGGGAATCTGCATTAATACGTGCAGTTACATGGACAAATAATTATGAACATGGGACTTTCCCTGTGGTATTAAATCTTCTTCACGATACCATCCCACTCACGGATAATAATAATCGAACCGTATTTCATCATATTGCAATGATGGCCGAGAAAGAGGCGCATGTTTCCTCTGCAGAATACTACATGGAATGTTTGATGCATTGGATAATACAAAATGCAGAAGGGAATTTGTCATCAATCTTAAATCATCAAGATAAATTTGGTAACACAGCGCTAATTATTGCTGCAAAGGCAAATAACGTCAAGATAGTACAGATGTTGGAACAAACGGGAGCTAGCCGTCTAATCGAGAATAATATTGGATTAGATGTCGGAGATTTTAGTGTGGTAGCGGCAGAAGAAATGAAAGTTGATGAATCGATGGTAAATCTTTGATCTTGATTTGAACTTTTGAATAAAAAAATTTATAAATCAATTGATAAACAGGTTCAAGGAAGCGAGGTCGCTAGTAATTCCATCACGACTAACGGTACATGTTACAACTCGCGGGAACGCAGCAGAGAAATTGTAGAATGCAAGTGTCTTACTTAGAGTTAAATCAGTATGCCATTTTTACTGATAATGATTTACTAAATTTTTTTAATTAATTTACATTAGCTCTCCAAAAGATTGTCGATGAAGCGGAAGAGGAATATTTAGAACAATTAAATAGTAAAGACCAGATGATTGAAGAGACGCGTAGGGAAGTCTATGCGAAACACGCAATTCTAGATCAAACGAACGAAAAGATTCAATATTATCGACAAAAAGAGAGGGAGATTTATGAAATTGAATCGCGGATACGATATCTCGAGAAAACATTGAAGGACGAACAAGATGTGGCTCGCAAACGTGCAAGGTATGATAATAATACTAATGGATATCAAGGTTCACGACTAGTCGACACATCCATTGTTGAATTGGCGGTCCCTGCGAAGACAGAGATAACTTTGACTGCGCCTATGATTACTTCATCCGGAATGTCCACATCTCTTCCAAAGCCTGTGCCATTTGCATTATCCTCTAAGGATGCTGCACGACCAACACAAACAATAACAGAACCTACATCTACATCGATAACAGACTCTTCTGCGATCAACGAATCTAAACAGCTCCAAGCGAAATTAGCAGCTTTTACTAACGGAGAAGCTGAAATCCAACAAGAAATTGCGGCGATTAATCGAAACACAGCAGACATTGAAGCAAAATATAAAGCGATAATCGCATCCTGCTGCGGTATTGAACCTGATCAAGTGGACAGTTTACTCGACAGTTTATTACTTGCTGTTGAGAGCGATGGCTCTGACGTTGACATTGATAAGATGATGACCTTGATGCAAGCTGCCGATCAAGTGGAAATGGAATCATAAATAAGTTGCATACAGAAATTAGCAAACAAATCTACATACAAATGACATTCATTTAAAGACATTCATTGTTTTTTCTTGATAACAAAAACATTATTAATTGCGAAACTCATAATAATAAGCATCAAGTCTTTATATTTGTTATTTACAGTTCTCTCACTTTTATTAACACATAAAATCATTATCTGGTTGTAAAAAGTTTGTGTATATATTACTTTCTTACTTGATAGCTCGCTTTATGCTTTGCCTTTTGTTCTCGATTTTTTTTCCGATTAGTGTGTAAATAATTTTCATCTATTATACATATAAATTATATATATATTACTACCACCATCACACATCACATTATATACGTGTTATATATCTTTTCCATCATTATTTACGATAGAATTTAGACTAGTATTTTTTTTTATTAATGATATCGTCACTGTTTAAGAAAACAAAAAATTATATAAATAACACGATGTCATCGTTCACCTTCAATCCGAATAAAATCTTTCAATGATGTGTATTATTTATTATAATATTTTAATTATCAATAAACAATGTTATAAAATTTAATAATAATATCTTTGGATTTAGATTTTATGCGAAAATGATATAAAGAAAAGACATCTTACCAGCATCACTTGGAAAAAAACGTTCCGGCAATTACGCATCTATCTTTATCGGCCGCATCTTTCCAAACTTCAACCCATTCGAAACCATTCTCATATAAAACCTCCTTGACATTTTTTACTTGATTCTCTCCTCCAATCTCCATTACCACTCTCGGAATAATATCAGTATTCATTTTTTCAATGTCTTGCTTTCTCAATAAAGGTAATCCGAGAGCCAATTTGGCAATTCTTTGGTGAAATGAAGTCCCGTCTTCATTATCGGCTATTAAAGCTCGTTTATCCTCCCACAACTTGATTTCGTTGCTCACCATTTCATATTCTGCACGAGTTACGTAAGGCGGATTAGATACTATCAAATCAAAACCGTTACCATCATAATTGTTATTATAATCATTATCATCCCCGCTCCCGCTAGTATTGCATCTTTTCACAAATTCAGATAACTCCTTATTACTCGATTTCATAATATCGAGATTCGATAATATAACACGATTATGGGGATTGTGTACGCTTATGTTTCTTTGAGCCAGTAATAGTGCGTCTGATGCATTATCTATTGCATGGACTGTGCAAGTATCAGGTGGAAGATTATGTGCTAGCGCAAGTGCTATGCATCCCGAACCGGTGCAAATGTCTAGAATTCTGAATGGGCGTCTTGGTTTTCTTTTTGGTGTATCATCATCAGGTGATTGATTAGTCTCGAGATGAGAATTCAAGAGGTTTGCGAGAGAACAAGTCCATTCTTCTGTTTCCCATCTGAGCAAAAATCAGAATACTGATTCATAATAAACAAAAAATCACAAACACGAAAGACTACCTTGGAATTAAGACTGGCGGTCTTGTGATAATCTCTAGATTCAAAAATGGTTGCGTTCCTAAAAATACAAGCCGCATTGTTTATTTGTATAAATTGAAATCTAACATAAATTTATTATTCGCGTACCTAGAATATATTGCAATGGTTTCGACTGCTCAACACGCTGACTCACCAAGGCAGACAGAATTTCTTTTTCTTCAAGAGACATGATTTTCCATGCTTCATCTGTTGTTTGTGGAATATTGTCTATATTAAATAAGAATTATCATAAGAATTTATCCTTTTAATGCAAAGAATTTAAAATACAGTAAAAAATAATTATTACTGCTGTAAACAGATGAATCTTTTTCCCGTAGCTGTTGACCCCGCTGTCGTAAATTGGTTACAACATGCAACGACAACCACTTTAATTCTTGTTGTGCGCACTCGTATGAGTTTTCACAGACTGGCAGGAGTTTTAGGATTAATGAAGAGGTGGCAGGACGCGCATTGGATGATTCGATTTGTAGAAATCGTAAAGATTGTTTGAAAGTGATGGTGATTTTTTGCAATTTTAAGCCTGAAAGCACACGTAACATTTTATTTTTATTATCAACTATTTATTAAACTTCATAAATACTATATTTTACGCACACCACACACTCCCCCCAAACGCTATCATATAGAAGATTTTCTTGCGCACTGTGCCTTTGCAATGCGCAAGAAGTTCCAAAAATTTCAAAATCTCACTGCAGTGAGGCGCCCACACGGAAACCTTTAGTAAAAGGCGAAAGGTTTATACGGATGCGAGCACCTCGTGAGAAAGGTAGGAAAAATATAAATGAGGTCACCATGCTTTTATATAAAATACAAAAAAAGGAGTCAAAAATTTGAAATTGTGGGTTTCTTCGGAGAGATTTGATTGGTAGTCGATCTTTAAAATTAAAGTCCGGGGATAATGATTTTTTTATTGGATTTCCTCAGAAATTTTTTGTCGACGAGTCATGTCTATTCTTTCGCGTCGAGCCTCCAGTCTTGCCGTTAACTCATCTCTCCCATATATTTATCTCTCACAAATACCCTATGCAAAGGCACTTTCTCTACAATCACACCTTGTCACTCGTCGTTTAAAAGCTCGAAAGCAACTTCAATCCCCCTCATCTTTGACAACAGAGGAAAACGCGCGGTTACAACATATAGCCAACACTGACATTCTACTTTTATTACAACATCCACCTACATATACAACCGGTAGACGTGATAGAAAAAGAGCTGAAGGAGACGTTAATAATGTCGGGTCTGAGGAGAAAAGGTTACGAGAGTTTGGTGCAGAGTATTTTGAAGTTGGGTTTTAATTGGTGCATTTTTATTGTCTTATGCTTAACAAAAAAAGAAGTAATTTTTCGATAATTTCATGAATATTAATTGCTGTTGAGTGTCACTTTTTCCTTTTGAATTAAAGACTTTACGTGGTGGACAAACTACATTTCATGGCCCTGGTCAATTAATTGGTTACCCGATACTCAATTTACAAAACTACAAGGTAAAAAAAAAGCATTTGTTATCTCTTTAACTGCACTTGATCAAATTTGAGATTTAATCACTTTTATTTTATTAAACAAGCAAGCTCTCTGTTAAATGTTATGTGGCTGCTATTGAGCGTGTGATAATTGAAACTTGTGACGCGTTTGGAATAAAGGCCCAAACGTCTGAGCATACAGGTGTGTGGACAGATGGTGAAAAAATATGTGCAATTGGTAAGAAAAAATTTGTCTTTGTACTTTTTGTTCTTGGATGTTGTTTTGAATTTTATTACGGTATGTTAAATTTAGGAATTCAAGTACAACGATATATAACCTCACACGGATTCGCACTGAATTGTAATACTGATCTGAGTTGGTTTGACCATATTATTCCATGTGGATTGGTTGACAAAAAAGTGACCTCGATGACGAAACAAATCGCGAAACAACAACAGATTGAGTTTGCTGATAAAGAGACTAATCAATTGCAAAGAAAAAAACGAGAGATGTCTGTTGAAATTGTTTTGCCTGTTCTTACTGAGAAGTTTGGGAATATGTTTGAAAGGAGCATGCATCCGTTGGGGTGTTTTGATGATTCTGAAATAGGATTGCGACGTGTTATTAGTGAATCTATATCGAAATAAAATTTGATCATTTTTATATAAATAATGCATTACTGAGAGTATTTATTAGATTTATAGTAATATTTATTAGATTTATAGTAATAATCAATAAAGTTATTTACCCTAATTCACAAACCAGGTTGCTATTCTTCATTTAAGCAAACAAAAATAAATATTTGCTGGATTTTGGCCTTAAATATATATATTTCAGCTAACGTGTCCGAGTGGTTAAGGAGCCAGACTTAAGATCTGGTACGCGACAGCGTGCGTGGGTTCAAACCCCACCGTTAGCATTTGACTTACATATTATGATTTATACTTTGTTAACTTTTTTAGGATAAAAAAAGTCATCGATTCGTCACACTACCTAAAGAGGAATGTGAATAAGAAAACAAATAACTTGCCAATCGTATATTTAATGGGAAAAATTCCCGTGATCCAAGTATGTATAAAGAGAAATGATCACAACATATTTTCTTTTTATTAAAAAATTTCTTCTGCATATTGAACAATCTCAGTAATGATATATATTTGACTCTCGTTGTGTTATGCTTAATGTCAGTCAACGTTAAACATAATGCTATTTGTCAAGTTCGCTTGTTAAAGTTAAGTCCAATTTCAATTTCTATCCCTATACATGAACAAAGACTCGTGTATAATTCAAGAAGAATAATGCGAATTTAGCTATACAATATACAGCTAAATGACGCGACGAAAAGGTTTAGTTATTCTATTAGAAATTTCATGTGTACTATATATGAAAGCAAATCGAGAATTGGCGTTTCTGCTATTTTAATTTAATAATCTGACAATGTCGAAACTAATATTTTGCTGTCAAAAGTGCAAATTCTTTTCGGCTGCTGAAAATAAGTGCGGTTTGGAAAATTTGACAAGATTCAGACATCATATTTTTAATTCCTCAGCAGCATGATTATTTTCTGGCAGCCAAGAAATTATTTTGTGTTTTCATAACTTTTAATTCGGCAACCTGACAAGTTTCACCAGCTGTATCGGCCCAAAAATAAGTTAGGACATTAACTTCGATGATGATTCGTCATGGGCAAGTAATCTTTTACTTGATTTAGAGCATTGATACAATTCGCTTATAGGTGAAATCGAAATTTTGACAGGTTGAGTCAATTTTTTCTTTAGTTTATAACAAAATCTCAAAAGTTTCTTATCCAGAATCGCGACATTTTTTTTTTGGTATGGAATTTCAAAATTTTATTTTGCTAAGATCTGGTAAGGGAGTGACAAATATTAGCTAATACACAATGACTTTCGATATAAAGGAGACTAATTAAGACCTCGATATAACGGATAAAGGTCCAAACCAACCATAATAAATCTCGCTCAATATAACGGACTTACTAATAAACTCATGATATAGCGGGATTTATCTCTAATTGCCCGAACCCATCTGTTATATCGAGAGTCGCTGTGTATATACCTTGCCCCCTTCTGAGATGTCACATGCACAAAATACACGTGAGGTGTGATCAATTAGATCAGTTGAGGGGGAGGGGGTAGACCCTCTAGTAAATCGAAATCAGCTGATTTCTATCCATCTCCTAGACATCTTTTATTTCATGAAATATGTACTTTGATAGATATCAAGTGAAATCAAGTATTTGTCCTTGTATTGAAATTTAATCTTTATTGTTGCTACATTCTGATTAAAGTGATAAATAATTTAAAATTTGTATAAAATACAGTAGAAATACTTTTCAGAATAAAGCTAAAAATAAAAACTTAAGTAGTATCTGATAAGTAATAAAAACGCGTCGAAAACTTACTACGCGTTTTGCTAATAGAATAAAAAATAATATATATATATATATATACATGTATATAGTATATAAAAAGGGGAGTGGTTAATATATACAGGTATACGGTGGATTAGTATATATATATAAAAATGTAGAATAATTTGAAATACAATTGACGCTTATCTAAAAATGAAAATGCGTTGATTTTTTTATGGATTTTTGGCCTCGCTTGTCATAGAATTTATGCAGTATTTGGTTTCTTTTTGATAGATTATTTGGTTTTTTTTTTATCATGAGTGAGAAACGATGAATTCATAACGTCTTTTCTTGCTTGGTTAGGGTTAATACTATATATCTATACAATGGTGATGGAGTTGAGGATGTTGTTTAAATTAAGATGATTTTTACCTTGAACCGTGAAAGCATACCATAGAGAAAATCAATAAAGAGGAAAAGAGTCAACCTAAAGAATAACTTTATAGAATTATTAAAACATCATTTTTCAAATTTTTTGTTATATATTATCATTTTGACTTTAATATATTTTTGATGCATATTTCTGTATTTTTGAGTTTTAATATCTTTTTAATCCTACGTGTTCACGAAAAAATGTGGCGGAGATTCGAAGAACTTCGGTGGTACGTTCTGCGATAAAAGGATTTGTCCAGTCGCCTAACGAGCCA